CACCAGGAATACAAATCACCGCTACTGCTTGGAGAACTCTGTCAGCGTCTCCCAGCGAACTACCAAAACTCCAGGCAGACCTTAATCATTTGTTCAAACAGCTGCTCATGCTTAGTTTTCCTTTCAAGATTTGTGCCAAAAACGCCAACGAAGCGATGACGCCACTACTGAACTGTGACGAATTCAACATCAACAACGGAGTGCCTGTGACCATGAATGTCCCTACACCGACTCATCCTAACCAACCAACGCAGGTCAGTCTCAAGTGACGTATCTGTAGGGATAAAACCAAAAAAAAATTTCCAGATTGTATTCTATGGCAACAATTTCGTTTCCCCAATGGGTGGTGCTATATTTCTACAGGATATTCTGCTACAAGGAAATTTAGAATGTAATGGCATGAGTAGAGAAAACTACCCAGTTTTGTACCAAGGACGCGAAACTGAAGAAGCTTTGCTACCAGAGCAGGCACGTGCGGAAAAGTCGCAGGAGATTTCCAAGCCGCTAAAAGTTGGTCTTGGCACATACTTTTGAACAGGTGGAACAGAAGGGGAAGTAATTTGGCGACTTCAACATATTCTGACTAATTTCCTATCTCTTGAATTCTCCCTTATAAAAAGATGCATCAGCATTACAATTTTCACCAATTTTTTGATGTCACCTCATTCTTCCTTGCTGCGTAAAGAGTTGCCTGTGCCAGCGCCGTTCCAGTGCCGTGTTGATGCTGTCCCGGAATTTGATAGATCAACAAAGCACTCCCACGCGCGTACCGGAATGCAAACGCGCGGCACTGCCATGGAGCTGGAACGGCGCTGGAACGCATCAGCGCACGAGCAATGATGGGCTACTTTAGTGACTAGGTCAAGTGTATAACTTTAGTGACTATGACTTTAGTGAATATATCATACGCAAAAAGTTCAGTTTCTGACTTCCATCCTACTTGATTTCTTGAATTGATATTACGAGCGTATTACCCTTATTACAGATCATAGACGACTTGTCCACTTT